TCTCTCTCAGATAAATAAAATCTAAAAAAAAAGAGAGAGAGAGAGAAAATAAAAATAGGAAGAACGGAATGGAATCATGGTCGGAGAACCCTAACATATCCAAGGTATCGAAGGAAGCTCTAGAACTTCAGAGAATAAGAAATAAGAGGATAAGAACAGGAGAATAAGGAATAGAGACTGGTGAAGCCAACCGGCATGGGTGGAAGAGAAAAGAAGAAGTGGAGTGGGGCCAAATTCTTTTTAAAAAAACTGCCTGTTTCATTTATTGTGCTGAATTACAGTTGGGATGTGGAGATTTTTTTGGTTGTTAAAAGAGTCATCCCATGTTTGGTGAACATCTACATGCCAGACACACCTTGTGTCCTGACAGGAAGCAACATTTGAGAGGGACGACTAAAAGCTTGTTCCTCAATCCTGCACCGCCTTGAATTGGGACGCACTTCTTGCTTGTGTGTCTTCTCTTTCTCTCCCGGGGAATTCTGCGTGCAAAGGAAAGAGTATACCAGAGACCGTTCACAGGAAGTTTGCCTATAGCTTCTTTGTCACTTTGGAAACATAGGTATACAGGATGTTCTTAGGCATCAGCTCCCTCTTTTCTCTACTGTTCAGCGCTCAGCTAACCCATGACTGCTGCTATGGCATCCAGTAGAATGATCTCACACACACACACACACACACACACACACACACACACGAACTATTCCGATGGGGGAATCTTTAAATTATACACCTTGCTTATAGGCAGGCTTCGGGGGCTCTACATAGTTCTTAAAATTGGTGTAGGGGTTTTGTGCTAAAATTCTTAAATCCAAATTACCACTGTGACTCTTGCTTTTCACTCACCTGCATATTTTTAGGGTGAACACATCCTTTGGCCTTGATGTTAAGATTGTCATTGTGGGTCACAGACTGTGGGTATCCAGACCAAACTAGGGAAGTTAGGTTAAGCCCTCTGGAATCTGGGACACTAACAGTGTCTTAAAAAAGTAAAGAAGTCTCTGGGAGAAAAAGGGAAGGCAGGATGTTCTAGGTAGAGGGACTAGCATGAACAAATACAAAGAGGTACGTGTTCGCTATGTTTAGGGGACTGGAGGTGATTTAGTGTAGCTGGAGCAGAGAGCCAGGGTGTGGAGAGGAAGTGCCAGATAGAAGGGACCTTGGAAATCACAGAAGTTTCCATTTTTGGCTAACGGTGATGAGCCATCACCGATGGGCTTTGAACAGGAATGAATAGTGTGGTATTTGTAGAATTTCTTTTTTTTTTTTTTTTTAAAGATTTTATTTATTTATTTGTGAGAGAGAATGAGAGACAGAGACCACGAGAGGGAGGAGGGTCAGAGGGAGAAGCAGACTCCCTGCCGAGCAGGGAGCCCGATGCGGGACTCGATCCCGGGACTCCAGGATCATGACCTGAGCCGAAGGCAGTCGCTTAACCGACTGAGCCACCCAGGCGCCCTGTAGAATTTCATTCCGTTCATTCATTCACCATGACTGCTTAATTGCCCAGACTTTTCTACTCTTGTTCTTTCCCTGTTATTTTTTGAATCTGATTATCTGTGGCCAGAGGCTTTGGAGTTTTATCTTTTTGGTGTCAGTTGAGTGATTTCCTGTGAGAGAAGGAAAGACCATACTGGAAACAGCAGAGTAGGTAGAGTTTTCGTTTGGGCGAGAACAATGTACAATTTCCCTCATTGGGTTGGATTTAGATTTCCATAATGGATTGTTCTCATTTTGCCTAAGAAAATAGGAAATCCTGTGTTTTTGTTGATGGTTGGGTTCGGTTAACTTCACAGGAGTAGGTGAGGAAGTACCTCATTCCAAGTTCATCACACACAACTCACACCTGGATTCAGGCGCGTGAGAGCCAAGACGGCTTTTTCTAGCTTTGATTCCTGTTTTTATCCCTTTTCCTCCCCTTTTGTGGTGTCCTAACCACTTTGCTGTAGGATTTTAGCCAAATCCTTTCAAGAGCATCATCCTGTTATATCCATGGAAGAAAAAAAATGAGATCGTTAATATTCATACTCAGATCAGAGTCTGTTTTCTAATAGACTCTCTAATCAGACCCCTCTTTGTTATATCTCCCTTCATTATGGAAATGTAGCATCTAAAAGAAGAAAGCCAATTCAGCCAACATACATTTATTTACTACTTGTATACAGGCATATGCAGAGAGCAAGAAAATCTCAGGTTCTAGAATAATGATTCCCAGTGCAATGGAAGTTCTGTAATAGATTGTACGAAGGGCCTTGGGAACACAGAAACATGGGCTTTGGTTATAACTTTAGGCAATAGAGGGATCTTCAACAAATACTTATTTTTTATCTTTTTACATTGTTTTATTGGGGTATGACTTATATACAGTAGATCGCACAACTGTCTAGTTCATTGAGTTTTTAATATAGGTGTGTGTCCATGCACACACCACCCTGATCAAGATACAGAGCACTCTGATCACCCCCAGAAGGTTTCCTTTTGCCCCTTTCTCTAGAGGGGTTTACATTTGAATTGAGTCTTAAGATTTTGATGTTACTACTCGCATTACATTTTGGGAGAAAGAAAATAAAGCATCTCGAACATGTACATTAGGTTATCTCTGCAATTAATTACAGGCTTCTAATTCTTCGCCTGAAGTCAGAGACCTGTTGGAACAGAAAAACAAGTTGACCACAGAAGTGGCTGAACTTCAGAGAAAGCTTCAACTAGAAGTCAAGGTATCTGATTTTTCCTTTTATGTTATTTTTTAAATTTCTGTCTTGCAAAGAATATCTTAAGCAAATCTGGGTGCTCAAGTGAAGCGAAAGCGTTTTTTTTCCCCCCCAAAAGAAATATTCCTCTCATCACTGAGTAAATTCCTGTATATTTGGCTCCTGCTATCCAAAGAATTTTTTTTAATTTTTAATTTTTTTAAAGTAATCGAAGCCCATAGACACAGTTTGCTTTGACAGAGTAAAACACTGTTGGATTCAGGCAGGCCAGTAGGAAACTAAATGCATATTAAATATCCAAACTGAGTAATAGAAGTAGCAGACTGAGGTTTAGCTGTCTTTGTATTTCTCTTAGAAGTATTACAACTCATTCAGTATTTAATGTTTCTAGTTGCAAACTCCCAGGCCTAGTCATATAGGTTGATTAAGTTGTTTAATAAATGAGTGCAAAGACATGGAGTCCATCAGAGTTTTGAGGTAGTCTTCTGTGGGATTGCATTAACGTTCAGTGGAGGTACTTGAAAATCACATGTATTCATCTTAGAATCAGCAGAACATGAAAGAAGAGAGAGAGAGAATGAGAGCAAGCTTGGAAGAGCTCCAGGGCCGGCACGACAGTAAAATGGAAGAGAATTCCGTGCTGCAGCAGCGCCTGGAAGAGAGCGAAGGGGAGCTCCGGAAGAACCTGGAGGAGTGAGTTCTGGGCCAAGAGCCTTGGTTCCTGCATCCGATGTAGCCAGAATCTTTTTGTCTGTTTAATACTACCCAGCCTTCCAAATATTTAGAGGGGCTGGTGACCCTTCCTTTTCTCCCTCTTACCTTGTAAAATTGCGAAGCTGATGACACATGCAAGACTGGTAAGCAGAAAGGTTAATAATTTCAAATTTCTTTGAATACCTTAAAGGATGCCTTGTAAAGTTTTAGCTCTGAGACTGGCTCCTGGAGCTGATAAGCGAGAAGCAGGGAATACTGAATGGTGATATCTATAGACAGAGATTTCAAGAAGCCTGGACCCAGCCTCCAAAAAGCACATGTCCTATGACTTCTGTAATCTCCCAGTTTGTGAATTTTATCCTGAATGCTGCTGACCAGTGCTTATGCCTCTGTTGAGTCTGCAGAGAGGGAAGGTCAAAGCCAAGATGGCCCTGCTATTGCATCATATTAAAATCTGTGAAAAAGGGATCTGAAGCCAAAGTCTGCAAACGTGCAGTGCTATGAAGCTCTGCGGCTGTGGTGGAGGTCTTAAGTGAAGGTCTAAGCAGGAGTGAAATCCAGAAGGAAATTCAAGAAAAATATAATAAAATCATTTGATTGCCTTTGCAATTTTGATGATGTAGTTTTTGCTTTAAAAACATTCCTAGATAGAAAAATTGGTGAGAAAAAAACAAAATTTAGGGTGTAGTAAAGACTTTACAAAATCAAAAGGTAAAATAGTTGTGAGTTTGATTTAGAGCAGAGGTTGGCAAACTTTTTCTATCAGGTAGTAAATATTTTATGGTTTATGGGCCATATGGTCTTTGTTGGACCCCTTTTGTTCTGCCATTGTATTGTGCAAATGACCACGTGTAATACATAAATGAATGAGCATGGCTCTATTCCGATAAAACTTTATTTACAAAAATTGGCCGTGGGCCAGATTGGCCAAGTAGGCCATAATTTGCTGACTCTTCTGGGCCTGGGGGCGGGGTGGGGGGTAGGGAGTAGGGTGGCTTTAGTGAAAGCATTATCAAAGAGGTTCTGCTTTTTTGGGTCAATTTCTTTCTTATCATCTAAATTCTAGTACCCTACAGTCTCCTTTTGGGGAGAAACTGTCACTGCATAACCTTCCCCATTACATTGGTTTGAATTCTCACTTGCCTTCTTGTTGGACAAATTAGACTGTAGACATGAGTTCCTGCCAGTGCCTTTTCTGGTTTGTGATTCCTTGTTCAGTATAGAACGGAGAATGGAAGGCTCCTTGGGGCTTCAGAGGACTCTGCTTGACCCTCTGAAGGTTTGAAATCAAACTGGATGAAACAATGCAAGGCTTAGCACAGTCTCTCTGATGGGCTTCTTCCCCTGCTAGACTGTTCCAGGTAAAGATGGAACGGGAGCAGCACCAGACCGAGATCAGGGATCTCCAGGACCAGCTCTCAGAAATGCATGATGAATTGGACAGCGCCAAACGAGCTGAGGACAGGGAAAAGGGAGCTCTGATTGAGGTAAGGGGGGGAGGGCGTGGGATCAGGTGTCAAGAGAGACCCCAACTTCCTGGAGGGGGTGGGGTGGGTAGGGGCGGCGGGGTCTGGATACTACAAGCCATGTTCCACTATGCCTATGGCTAGATTCCATAAAAGCATCATCTGTAATAGTTTTTAAACTTTGTCTTAGGAAAAATTTCAACCATACAGAAAAGTAGAAAAAAGTAATTCATTAACTCCCATAGAGCCCCAATCCAAATCCAATGGTTGTCAACATTTTGTCATACCCCATTTCTTCATGTTCATTCTTTTATCCTGTTATTTTTTTCATCTGTCCATCTATTCATCTTTGCTGAACCATTTCAAAATAAATTACAGATAATACCACACTTCACCCCTAAATTCTTTGGCACGCATCTTTAAAAAATTAGGGAATTTTGTTATAACCACAATACTATTATTATACCTAAAACAATGAATAATTCCTATAATATAACAGTAATACCTGGTCCTTATTCAGAATTTGCTAGTTGTCCCTCAAGTATATTTTATAGTTGTTTCCTCCACCCCCAACCCAGGGTCCAGTCAAGAATCCCATATTGCCTTCATTGTTCTCTTTCTCTGCCAATTTCCTATTCCCTGTTCTCTTTCTTCCATTCCATTGATTTTCCAAAGAGACCAGACCAATGGCCCACATTCTGGATTTGTCTGATTATTTCCTGACGGTGTCCGTTAACTTGTTCCATTATATCCTGCATTTCCAGTAAATGTGAAGTTAGATCTAAACACTAATAGATTCAGGTTAAACTTTAGGCAAAGACACTTTGTAAGTAATGCTAGTAATGGGAAAGCATTTTAAAGATGCTCACGCCCATACAGCATTTACCACAGTTTTTTTTTTAAGGCCCCCACAAGAGTGTAAGCTCCAGGAGGCAGGGCTGGTGATGGTTGGCTTAGTGTTTTATCCTCATTAGCTGTTCCAGTGCCTGGGACATATAGCACTTGGCAAATATTTGTGGAGATGGTTGGATGGATTCATTATGAATAAATGAATGAGTGAATGAATGAATGAACACTTTTGCTATGTACACAGGCTGTCCGTCTGGCTTCTGCCCATATCAGTATATTCCCTATTGATTATTTAGTTCTTATCAATCCATGAATCAGTGAATGAAGGTGACTCTTTCCTCTGCTTAGCATTTGTTAATTATTGTGTGGTTTCCTAAAGACAGTCATTATCTCTTCCCTGAATTAGACTGCAATCCTGTTAAGGTGGTAGATACATACATAGGTTGTGAACGTCCACATTTTTTTTTTTGGTCAGAGATGGGTATAATTGAAGATCAGAAATAGAATTTGTATCTCTGTGTCCATTTAGGTGTTTTGATATTGGCTATAATTATCATACCCTGTATTTTTGGCATAGTTTTGAAGCTTATTTCCTTATAAGCTTCGGTTTGTAGGAACAGCCAACAAATAAATGATACACAATTTAGAACAATGCGAAAAAAAAAAGAAGAAGAAACCATAAAAAAATAAAACAATAAAGGTACTTTGTCAGCATTTACTTCTCATTTTCTACAGCTTTCCCCCTAAGGGCCTGGGTCTTTGTTCTGGTCTTGGAGTTCAAGTTTCTGGCTGCCTCCAAGTCTCAGCGGTCAAGTGTTTTCTCACTCCCTTCCTTGTTTCATTTTGGACTAATTCCCTGGAGGGATTTTAGGTCTTGCTCTTTAGAACTTAGAGTCTCTTCCCTGTGACTTGGTGGTGGCAGAGAGCAGAGCGCTGGTGGCTACCCAGTTATAGGTGTTCTCACAAATTCATTTACCATATGGGCAGAGGGGAATTGTTTCTCTTCTCCCACATGAGCATCTCTCTCTCTGTCTCCACTTAGATCTTTTCTCCTGAGAAAGCCTTGGGCCTGTTCCATAGCACCTCTTTTTATCCAGTGACCTTTATCTTAAAAACCAGCACATTCATGGTGTTATATTGCTTCTCATGGTTCCGCCTTCTTCTTGGGGCTGAGTTACAAAGACAAGGGGCATTAGAATGGGGTTTTGAAAATGGTGTATTTGTTGCTGAAATATTAAAACATCATAAAATGGGGGTGCCTGGGTGGCTCAGTCGGTGAAGTCCAACTCTTGATTTCAGCTCAGATCATGATCTCAGGGTTGTGAGATAGAGCTCTGCATCGGGCTCTGTGCTGAGCATGGAGCCTGCTTGGATTCTCCCTCTCTCTCTGCCCCTCCTCCCCTGCTCACGTGCTCTCTTTCTCTCTCTCAAAAAAAAAAAAAAAAATTAAAAATTTTTTAAATTATAAAATGGAATTTTAAAATGGAGGGGTGGTAGAAATATTTTCCTAACATCTTAATGACTATTTTTATTTCTACATTTTCTATTTTTATATCTACATTTATTTCTTCACTGCCTCCCTATCCATTGACAACTTTCATCTACCCTTCTGTAATTTAGGGACAATTATAGTGTCCCTACAGCTTTGATACCTGCCTTTAAAAATTCATTAGTCAAGGGGCATCTGGGTGGTATAGTCGGTTGAGCATCTGACTCTTGGTTTTGGCTCAGGTCGTGATCTTGGGGTCATGAGATCGAGCCCTGCTTCGGGCTCCGCACTCATTGCTGAGTCTCCTTAGGATTCTCTCTCCCTCTCCCTCTGCCCCTTCCTTGCACATGAGTGCTCTCACTCTCTCAAATAAATAAATAAATCTTTTAAAAAGTTCATTTTTCAGAAACACTTTTCCTTATTATAATTTATAGTCTTCATATTTCATTTTTTAGGGAGATAAACCATAATAAATTTCATCATCCTCTATTGTTTCTCTCTTTTTTCAATTACATAAAAATGTGTTGAATGTTTTTCACATGTATCCTTTTACTTCTTTAGAAAAATTTCCTAAGGATAAGTTCCCAGAAATGATGTCACTGAACAGTTTATGACTTTCAATAAAAATGTAGCTTCACAAACAAATTTAAATAGAAGACTTTGCCATATCCTATGATACTTGTGTGGACACTTTATTGATTCTAAAAAGGGAAGGTGTTATCTTTGCTGTTGGGAAGTCTTTTAAGTTGCTGGATTTTCTCACTAACAGAAACCTCTAATTGTTAATTGTCCTTTCACCTGAAATCCTGTTTCCTTTTAGGTTCATTTTAGCACATTTGAGCTTGCTCTATTTTATATCTGTCCATTTCTTCTACTAGCCAGTTAGTTCAAGAACATGTCGGCTTTGCTTCTTCCCCCATTTCATGCCTCACACAGTGCCAAGCAACAGAGCAAATGAATAAATAAATTTCAGTATTTAAATTATTTTAGAACTGTCACCATTTAAGAAAAGGGAATAATTCTGAATTGAGCCGCATGCTTCTTTGCCTTTTTAAGCACAATGCACCGAGCATATATTATTGAATAAAATTTAATTAATTAAATAGTCTGACTTATTTATAGTGGTAACTAGGATAAGGATATGAGCCTCAGTTTTGGTGATGTGTTTTCAGGCTGGTAATGAGAGACAGAAAAGGCAACAGAGCACATCTGTTCTTAAAATAGCCGATATTGCTGGCTTTCTGATTATTTGCCTCTTTCCTGTAACAGGAGGAATATCATCTATTCTGTCTTTCTGCAAGATGAGTTAGGGCACAGTTTCTCTGTGTCAGATTGGGTTTCTCTGGAGGTTCATCCTCACTGTTTCAATCAGGTTCCTTTGACTTGTCAGCAATAGTTAAAACATGACCTATGGTTTCTATAGCACTAATAAAATAGACCCTATCTCCTTGTCACATTCAATTTATTCTTCATATCTTAATAAAAAGTGGCCTGGGGGAATCTGATAACAGATTATAGTTATGGCCAAGTTTTCCATGGCATTTGGCTTAGAACAGGCTCTTAAACACAATGAATATTAAGCACTCCTGCTTTTGAGTGTTTGAAAAAAGTTTGAAGGCTTTTTATTTTGGGAGGCTTGCCAAATGCACAAGATTTTTCATGAAATCTCTTTTAATTTTTTACATTTTGTTAAGTAACATTGGACACCAACACAAAATCAGTAAAGTAACAGTGAGAGAGAATAAAGTTAAAAAAAAAAAAGAAGGAAGAGAGGGAGAGTGAAAAAGAAAGAAAGAGTAAAAAATACCATTCTCTTAGGATAAACCATATAATTGACCAAAAATAAGATGACTTTGTTATTCTGTTAAACAGTTGATGGTTCTGAACTTTTTTTTTTAAACTCAAGTTACAAAAATGATTACAAAATAAGTTTTCAATCACTTCTTTGTTGGTAAATGCATTCCTCTCCATTCTGGGGGTAATGGGTGAACATGAGACCTTGCTCTAAGTGCCATGACAGTGGAGTTTCTAATTACCAACCATTGTCTTTGATGGGAGCCTGCAGTGCTGATGGATGGGCCTCACTGCAGCAGACAGAGACTGGTAACGGTTTATCCCTGGCATTTGCCAAGATGCAAGTACTTAAAATATTCTGGTATTGAAATTGTATTGATCTGAGGATAAACTGTGCTCAGAAACGAGGTCTCTAATAGTAAAATACTGGTAGGATATGACTGCACATTTTACAAATTTTAATTAAAAAATAACTAAAAAATAAGGTTTTTCATCAGCTGTGATATGCTTTCTAGGCCATTCTTCTGGGGGAAAAAATTACATAATTCCCTATCAGCTACAGTTTTGACATAAAACCTTTTATGTGTCCTTTTAGTGAGTATGGGCCGCAGATAGAGACCCTATAACTTCTGGGAAATATGTACACAGAAGAGATCAGCATTTTTCTCAGTTTGGCATGGAATACCTGTGAATAGGTGGTGTGTGAAATGGGGCTTTCTATGGGCCAGTGAGTTGCTGGCCTGGATATTCTGGTGTGTGGGTCTCAGTGCACCTGCTGTCAGGACAGCCACTTGCTGCTGCTAAGAACAGCCAGGTTCCAGAGCGTGCTTTCTTTTTCTTTCAGCTTTCCTTCTTTCCTTTCAGGTTCTGGGCTTGTCTCTTTTCTTTAAGGAGGTGGACACCCTTCTTATAGGCACTTCCAGCCAAACACAGTGTTCTGTTGCGTTTGCATCGAAGAGACTGAGCATGGTGTAATTGTTTGCCCCTAAGCTCCTCTTGAGTGTGTAGGCTTGTTGTCAGGCCTACAGAGGCTGGGTGATAAAGAGAAGGGGCAGCGGTATTCAGTCTGTGTCCCAGTCTTCCACCTATAAGCTGTGTGATCCTAGGCACGTTAGTGTCTCAGAGCGCCAGTTTTTTTTGTTTTTTTCATTTAGGAATGAGAATACTATTAATCTCCTTGAATATTCATCTCCTAGGATTTTTGGAGATGCTTAGCACAGTTCTTTTTACATACTGCGTACCAAGCACAGTGAAATTTGTAGCCCCTCCCCCTAGCCCACAGACGTACTCACTAGATTTTTATCTCCTGGAGGCTTCTGTGTCTGCAGCTAGCCTGGATGCATAGAGGTTTTGTTGTTGTTGTTTTTAATTTTTTTTTTTAAGATTTTATTTATTTGCGAGAGAGAAAATGAGAGACAGAGAGCATGAGAGGGAGGAGGGTCAGAGGGAGAAGCAGACTCCCTGCCGAGCAGGGAGCCCGATGCGGGACTCGATCCCGGGACTCCAGGACCATGACCTGAGCCAAAGGCAGTCGCTCAACCAACTGAGCCACCCAGGCGCCCTGCATAGAGGTTTTGAAAGTGCTGATTCCGATTGACCAAGGCCTCCCTCTGTTTTCTCTGAGTGGTGTCTCCAGAGAGGCATGCTCATCTCCAATGGATATTTACTTACGTTTTGAAATTTATATATTTCCTCTCCTTTCTTTGGCTTGAGATGATTGGCAGTAAGGCTGATGAGGTGATGAAGTCAAGTTTCTGAAATCTCTCCTGCCTTTTGGTCTCTCCGAGCCTGGACCACCTCCAAGTGCTGCTGAGCGATACGGCGCGGTGTAATCTGATGGGATCTGAACAACACGGGCCGCCTAGGCGGCAGCCACACACAACACCATGTCGGTGTCAAAGGGACCATGAAAACCTAGGTTCTTGACATGCATTGGAGGCACTACACAAAAGGCGACACAAAGCACAGATACATCCTGGAAAAGATGAGTGTGGGAAGAGAAACTGCCTTATCATCACAACAACTGAGAAACAAATGTGTGAGAGTGAGAGCAGGAAACGGGGGTTGGAATCACAGGGACTCCCACAAACAGGCTGGCAGAAGGCCCAGGAAGACCTGCAGGGACAGCCGGTAGCAACAGTGATGGGTGCGGCTCTGCTCCTCCCGAAGGAGGGACTGGCAGCCTCGGCACCAGGATGTCCCCCTTTTGACGAATCTCAGGATCGGCTCTATTTTCCTAAGATTCGCTCATGTGTTCTGCGCTTGGTGCTTCGGAAGACCCCGAATTGCTGTAGTTACCTGGATGAATCTCTTGGCGTTTCATCTGAACTTATCAGTGCCTGCTAGTGAGATTCTGGAAGGTGCGAAGTCTCGGTGTCTGCAGTGCAGCCCTATCCTGGGACTGCAGAGATTCCCCTGGTTCAACGGATGTGCAGGTCCTAGAGAAAAGGAAGGAGATTCCATTGCCAGTTATATTTTCATCCCCTCATGAGTGACATACTTCTTGAATGGAAAGTAGTTTCTCAGCTCTGAGGCCTCGGCTCCCCCGGTGGCAGGCATTCCTCTGATTTCCCGGGAGCTCCAAGAGCACAGCATGTGTATTTACTCAGAAGGCACCAGTGAAAAAGAGAGACTAGTTTAGAATTCTGTTATCTGCAGACTTCCGCTGTACTGCACATGTTAATTCATTTATATTCAGAACAGACACACTCCCAATAACATTGGTCCATGCACCAAAAATATGATCACATCGGTATCCTTCTTTTGAGGGGCTGACAGTCTGGCAGGGGAGAAAAGAACATAGTCTAATGGACTGCAGGTAAAAGAATTACATGCTCTGAGATGTATAGCTAAAGTGAGGTGGGTATCAGGAGGGGGATTCAAAGAAGACTTCTTGGAGAAGGTCCTGCTGTATCTGCGTCTTCAGAGATTTTCTGAGAGGCAGAGAGAGAGGCGGGACTGAGAGGGAAGAGGGGCACTTGAGACAGAGGATGCATGTGGATAATGTCATAGGGGCCCCAGGTGAGCGACTGGATGCAGGGAGCAGTTGGGTGGCAGGAGAGCCTAAACCAGGGAGGTGAGGGAAAGGATCTAAGATGTTACAGAACTTTTAGAGGAGGAGGAGGAGGAGGAAAGGAAGGAACATGATGAATTCACCAAAAAATATAAACCTACTGAATCTGAGGTGCCCGTGGGACATCCAGATGGATGTGTCTGGCAGGTCACTGGAAGTGCCGGTCTGAACTCAGATAGGAGTTGGAGGTAAAGGTTTGGGAGTTACTTGCTTAGAATTAATAGGATGGCGGGAAAAAATAGATGAGCTTGCCAAAAAAGAATAAAGAATGCAAAGTTGCATTCTTGGGGATCATCTTAGCTTTTGGGAAGAGGGAGAGAAAAGCCAGAAAAGACTGTCTAGAAAAAGCAGCCTGAGGGAAGAAAACAGGCATGTACCGTCTTTGAACTGCAAGGCCAAAGAGAATTTGAAGGAGATGGGTGGGGAGGATCAAAGAAGGGTCGGGGAAAAATTGAGGACTGGGAAGAAGCCTGGATGTGGTAATTAAGAGGTCACTATGACCTTGGAGGGGACAGTCTTAGTGCAATAGGATCCAAAGCTATATAGCAAGAGATTAAGGAGTGAATAGGTGGTTAAGAAGCACAGCCAACAGAAATTATACTTTCAGGAAGTTTCGTGGAGAAGCTTGTTTTTGTTTTGTTTTATTTTGTTGCCTTTGACCCAGTGGATTCTTATGGCCTGAGGAAAAGGACATAGCTCCAAGGAAACGGAAGACAACAAAATGACAGAAGAAAGATCACTGATGGAGGAAAGGCTTGGAGCAGTCTGGCGAGGGGCAGCTGGATGTGTGTGAGGCGGCTGCGGGTGGGAGAAGGCCGGGCATGCGGAGGAGAGCCGGGGTGGACAGGAAGCTGAGGCAGCCATGGCCGAGTCCCGCCAGCATGAAGTGAGGGCGTCGGGGCTTGACGAGAGCTCAGTGGGTCTGGGACAAAGATGGCGAAGTAAAAGGAATGCTGAGCTTTTGGCAGGACACACTTGGGTTTAGGGAATGCGATTTGTAGTGGAACTTGCTGCCCCGGTTTTATGCCTTTCGTCAGGAACGCTTGGCAGTTAACGAGAAGATGGGAGTGTTGCGCCTGCTCAGAGGGGCGAGCGGGACCCGAAGAGAAGGGGCGGAGTCAACCAGGCCTGGGACCCTGGGTTACGGGTTTGCCCACGCACCCCCCGGGGTCCCAGGGGTGGTGTGACGTCAGTGAGGCCAGTCCGTCGGCATGTCCCCCAGTGAAGCAACAGCACGCAAAAGCCCGTTCATTGCAAGAGCGACAGACCTTTCATTGCACAGAAAGGAAAGGAGGTGGAAAAGGCAGACATGCCCCGTCAAAGCAATGAAAATGAAATCAGTTTCCCTTTTTTTTTCCTCAAATTAAATCAAACTCAGAAAAGCTGAGACAGACAAATCAAGGGGAATGACGGTGTCCAAGGAATGAAAAGAAAGACGGGGAGATGGTCTAAACTGGTGGGGAGTGTGGGGAGGAGAGAGTCGGAGGACAGCTTGGGAGTATGGCCATTGGCCCCAACCGGGCTGCTCAGCGGAGGTGATTAATCCTCACCTCCCCTTTCTTGATTCCTCTCTCTAGGAACTCTTACAGGCAAAACAGGATCTTCAAGATCTGCTCATCACCAAAGAAGAGCAGGAAGACCTCTTGAGGAAGCGGGAGCGTGAACTCACCGCCCTGAAGGGAGCCCTGAAGGAAGAGGTCTCCAGCCATGACCTGGAGATGGACAAGCTGAAGGAGCAGTACGACGCCGAGCTGCAGGCCCTGAGGGAGAGTGTAGAAGAAGCAACCAAGGTGAGTCACCGCGCCAGGTCTGACCAGACCCTAGGGCCCGTGGGCCTGGGGCGCGAGAGTCTGGCTTGGGGACAGACGAGGGGGTGAGACCACCTCGCCCACACCCGTGCTAGTCGTTTTTCATTACAGAGTGAAGCTCAGTTTCATCAGATCATGGAAGTAGAGCTTGTTCACAGATAATGAGGTTGGCAGTGCCGCTGTGGACCCTTTTGAGTCAGTAAATTTAAACATTGTTAAAGACACAGGCATGCTTTCGTTCAAGGTGAGATTTGGAGGCCCATGAGTGAGCCTCTTGCAGAGCAGAGAGCTGGGCCCTTCCAGGTATGCCTAAAGGTCGGTGGCCGAGGGCATCTTGTGGCTTTGCTAACGGGGCAGGGTGGCCGACCAGACCCAGATTTCTGGAATCCTTCACCCCTGCCCCTGCCTTAGCCTGTTCCTTTTGACTCGTGACGCCTTCTGTTGAACAGTTCAGTTTCTTTTCTCAGGAGAGTTCCACGAGGGTTAATTGGCTGAATTGTCCAAACCCTTGCCAGATAATTTTTCTCTTAATTGAATTCTTGGCCCCTATAAATAGATTGAAAAATTATGTTGAGGTCTTTTGGTGCAGGCCTCATCTTGGCCATTGGAGAAGAGAAAAGCAGTGTTTTGAAGGGGAAAATGCTCTGCAATATCATGCCATCTTTAGGGAACGAGAGGAATTACAGAGCATAAAGTTTTTCGCGTCTCTGCAATGCACAGGTTAAAGATGATGAGGAAAGAACTCTTGATATTGTTGTTTTATTCTGGGATGATTACAGAGACAGCTCAGAGCGAGTAGGCCCCCTGTCTCCCCTAAGCTGCATAGTGATTCACTGATTTTCAATTATGGCATGGTAATTGCAAATGACAAGAAGTGAAAGATGGTTTTGTTTGTTATAACAATAAAAAGTCTGGGAAATAGTCTGTTTGGGGTTTGTTATAACTGAGACAGTTTTTAAAGCTCTTCTCATTGATTTGCCTTAGTGTTTTTTTTGTTTTGTTTTTGAGACTTGGTTTCATTTGAGGGAGAAAATGGAAACCGATTTCATTTTCGTTGCTTTGAGAGGACGTGTCTGTTTTTTCCATCTTATTTTCTTTCTGTGCAGTGCTCCAGACCTTTCTGTGCTGTTGTTTCATGGGGGACGTGTCAGGAGGCTAGTGAGAAAGATGATTCTCCTTTGAACCCACCACGTGTTCTTCACCTTCAGACCTTGCGTCAGAGCTTGAGTTAACGTGATTGATTCATTGAAGGGTATTTGAGGATGGTGTCTTGGGGCATGTTTATAGTGATTTAAATGTAAGGACAGTTAAGCTTGTGCCACACTTGGGATGCAAGATATTTTGTCAGAAGCTTCTACGTCCACTCACAAACACTGTGAGTGGGGAAGGGAAACGTGGTAGGTGAGTGGAATTGAGATAATCTGTAGAGACTTAGTCTGTTGGATTTTGACCCTTTCAAAGGTCAGTATTATATGTTCATTTACAGCATTTTCATTATGCCAGTTCAAGAGAGATAACTTCCTTGACCTGTACCGGTCTGTGAAAGAAATAACAGGTGAGTTCGCCAAGATATCTATCATGGGCAGAGAACATAGGGTTTCTGAGCACCCAGAAACTAACACAAAGGGGCTCACCTTAGCATCCAAAGGGGTGCATGCCAGCAAGCTTCTTTGCCCCAGGTCATATTCTACAGTGCTATCAGCATCTTTCCCTGAAAGGACAAATCTGATCATGTCAGCCTCTGCTTAAATGCTCTCTTGGCTCCCCACTGCTCCAGATGTAAGTTCAAAATTGTTAGCATGGTAGGCCCTTCCTCTGCCTAACCCTGTCTCCGGAAAACTCCATATTCTTTTAGTCCTTTCACCTCTGGGCACATGTGGACTGACTTCCTTCCACTTTTCTGCCTGACCACCCTCTTTTCATCCCTCAAGACCCTCCTCAAATGTCGTCTCCCCTGTGATGATGACTGGGTACCTCCACTTCCCTCGGTGGATCCTTCCATAGGGTTTCTGTTGCTCCCTGGTTATTCCTCTACTGTAGTTTGTATCATACCATGTTATAATTCATCATGTCTACCAACTTCATTAGACTCTGAGCTTCTTAAGCACAGGGGCCATTTTTATCCCCCCCCCTTTTTTTTTTTCCCTAGAGTGGGAGTGACAAACCCAAGTACCTCAGGGCCCAGACAGGGACATCAATGAGTGGACCTCTGGGTGTGTTGTTGGGGTGACAGTAGGGCACGGTGGAGACTGTGGCAAACTAGAAAGTGTGCCCTTTGCTGTAGGGTCAGTTGCTTCTCTGCTGCAGTTGAAAGTTGTCAGTGAAGGAATCCTGGGCTCATGTTGCAATCTCTCAAATTTTTTTTTTTTTTTAAGAAGCCAGATATCTGGATGTTGATGTGAGATCTCCTGGCTTTTAAATTAGCAAGAAAAGAATGATAGAGACCAAACTCAACCCATCTGCACATTGACAGCATGTGATCTTTTTCTCTTGAGTTTAACACAGTGTCTGGCACGCAGTTATGTCTATGTAATGTCTGATGAATGAAAGTAAGTGGAGGACAAATTCCCCTCTTAACTAGGTTTTCAGTCCCTGTGGCGTGGTTCCTGTTGGATTTTCTCTGATGGTGATGTGGGAGGTCTTTTAAGAAACCCTGCTATGACTCTGAATTTCTGTACCTTGCTTTTATGTTTCCCTGCAGTTTTTTAAAGAGCATCATGATTGTGTCTTTGCACCTGTTAGCTTTTGCTTCTGAAGGTGGTTCCCAAACAAATGTGACAGAATCTTATCTAATGGAAAAAATTATGTCAGTCTAGCGGACAGATGCTGCCTTTTTGTTAAATGATTTACATGTGGATATTGTAGAATAGAATTTTAAGATTATTCTATTAACTACTTGGAGGAGAGTGAATTAAATATAACTTTTTAAATTTGGTAGTGTGTCTCTTAAATGTGTGTGTGCACTAGCCTTCAGCCTTTTCTAGCCCCAGGGGAAGGACTCCCCCATCACTGTGACTAAAAACTGACATTTCCTTGAGGAACTGTGTTGCAGTAAAAAATTTATTTCCTTGGTAAGTCTTAGGAGGCAGCCCAACTGTCTGGCATCAGATTTTCTAATTTTCGCCACTGCCCCGGGGCCAAAAACTCCTAAAGTGTTATCTTATCGTTGTCCAATAACAAATATTTCATCCTGGCCTGAGCTTGAGCACTAAAAGTTTTTTTTTGTGTGTCCCATGATTCATTGTTTGCGTATAATACCCAGTGCTCCATTCAATACGGAGCACTAAAAGTTTTAAATTACTAGAACATTAGGTGAAAACTGTCAAGTTATGTTAAGAACATTTTGAGGATGTTAAAGGAGCGACTTTTATTTTTGTATTGTGTGATAGACTTCGGGGCCATGAGGCTGTTGTACGGCCCCAACATACAGCAGTTAAGCCACAGATATTTCTTACATGAGTGGGTGAGGGGTAAGTGGAGGGAGGATGAAGATATGTGAGAGACTCTTGCCATCCTTCACTTCTCCATTTGTATCATTTGTAAATAATAGCATTTACAGATTTACTTACTGAACCGTTGCCAAGTGCAAGGTATTATGAAGGTTATGAAGATAAATCAGATAAATGTACCTTCCAGAAGATTGAAGCAGGGGAGAGAAGTAACACTCAAGCTGACTACAGAGTAGGAAAAAGTAAATGTCCCAGACATAAAGTGCTGTAGGAGGTGGCTTGTGCTCAGGAGGGCAGTGTGTAGGGGAATGTGAGTGGTGTTTGAGCATGGAGGCCAAGTACATGAGCACCCGGTACTGAGTCCAGCACCTTGTAGGTGGGAAAATGCAATGTGGGTCTGGGCTGGAGCCTTGTGGAACAATACAAGTTAAGATGGTTACAGATTAAAAGAGACTTTTGAGAGGCAGAGTCCCAGATCCAACACGTGGACCATGTTTGGATCCCAGTTCAGACAAACCAACTGTAAATACACACACACACGCACTTGAAATCATTGGGAACATTTAAATACTGTTTCTATATTTAAGGATATTAAGAAATAAAGTAAGCAAAAGCTTTAGGGGTGACAATAGTGTCATTATTTTTAAGAGTCCTTTATCTTTTAAAGAAACTTACTGAAGAATTTTTAGGTGAAATGGTAGGCTATCTGGAATTTGCTTTAAAATAATCCACTTGGGGGAGAAAGTGCGTGGGGGTGTGGATGAAACAAGATTAGCCATGTGTTGATAAGTATTAAAGCTGCGTGATGGATAAGAACGAGTTAATTATACTATGTGCTCTACTTTTGCTAATGTTTAAAATTTTTCATAACATGTGTTTTTTTATTTTTTTAAGAACACAGAAAGACTTAAGATAGAAAAGGTGAGGCGGAGAGGATGTGAGGACTCATTGAGTGTCATAATGACATGACACAGGAGTGGTTTTTAATTGCTGAGGGAACACTTACTTGGTGTTTGTTGTAGGGACCTGGGACGTGCTTTCCTATCAGTGACCGGCAGGTAGGGGAAGTTAGCAGGTGGAAAAGTGGTTAGAAGTAAGGAGTGAGGAAGATGGAGCTGCGGGTTTGGGGGATGGTGGCCAGGAGAGGCAGGACTGGCAGGAGAGACCCCACGGGGGTGCCATGATTGAGGTGAGGGAGAAAGAAGAGACAGCTAAGCCGCAGATCTTCCCTCGGGTGCTGAGGCCTTGCTGGGGGTGGGAAAGTTCCAGGTGGGTCCCCTAGGGGAAGCGGTTGGTGAGAGGCAGGGCAGCCCTGTTGGGTGGGATGGTGAGCCACTCCACGAGGGTGGGGACCACTCCTGGTGGACTGGGACAGCTTAGGGTAGGAGAGGAGGATGATGATGCAAGCACAGAGAATTGAAGACAAGCAGCCAGGTCCAGTAACAGGAAAGCAGGCAGAAGAGCACTGAATTTGGCTTAATAAATGATATATTTGAGAAACTTCTAGAAGCAACTTGTTTTTGCATTACATAT